CGGTTAAGATCAGAGTTGGTGTTATGGTTAAGTTTATAACTCAAAATCCGCGACAGCACCGAGAACACTAACGTAGTGAGTTGTTTTCATTCTACATGCGGTGTGCAAATATGCTGAAATCTCCAAAACGGAAGGGTTTTGTAAATGCACTTACTGACATGACCCGGACTGGTACTTAGGATTCACAGGAAGCCTATGTTTGCTCGACTGTTGTCCGAAACCAACAAGTCATTCTCACTGAAAAGTTGTGTTTTTATAGCATCCTGTTCTGATTGGCTATATACTGTCCAATCCGCTTGAAAATAAATTTCTAGAAGAGCTGAATAACTTCTCGCAAAAATGGACCAATCAGATCTGACGAGAGTTCTGTGGCCACAGCCAAAGCGGGACGCCGTCAAGCGCACGCCCAAGGTGCTTCGAACGATTCTTTAGCGATGTTCAAGTTACGTACATTTCTATAATCTTCACACTCGTAAGGAAAGGAAGAATTTTCACGTTCTTACTTCTACTGATGTAGAGTAAATATGTTTAGTTTCTGGTCTCTGGAAAAGAGACAATAATTATTTTGGCATTAATTTATCTGTATTTAACAAGCTTTCTAAATGGACCATCGGCAATATTATAGTGATAATCACGGGTTGGTAAACCGGACAATCGCTCGAACGCTTTCCAAAATTGTTATAGCTCCGAAACATAAGGCCTACAGTCAAACATTACGATGGCTACTGAGACTGGGATTTATGCACATCAGTTTGCTAAATTTTTCTCCATAATTTTTTTCGGATTTCCTTCTGTAGTCGTCACACAGTTGAAACTCCATGCCTGGTGAACCACGATTTACATGACTTCGAATCCAAAGTACGTTTCTAGTATGGGCTGTATAGTTAAAGTCAGGGCAGACTTACCCAATTGTTGTACTGTTTGATTCGGTCACGGAAGTGAACCAGCCAATTGGCCAGCGACTTGAGTGATGCTGGCGCCAACTTTCGCCAAACAGGGGGCAGTCGCCCGTTGTATATAGACGTAGAGAGGTCCTCCAAGTCGGGCGACATTGTCACTTCCCTGGCCAGTGCTTGCTTCAGAGTATGCAGAGAAGTGCCCATTTGTACAATCAGGCGATTTATTATCTCCAATTCCTAAAAAGCGAACGTATGCATTAGCAAAATCAACTACCATATTATTCCGTTAGATTTATAAATTTCCTCTTATGTTTGGCAGACATTGAGTTTTTCCAATAAAGGAATTCAACCGTACATACATGCACTATTTGGAAGTGTAGACCGTGTTTTGCAGACCACTACTGAAAGATGGGATATGGGACTGATATGTAGAGTCCCCCCGAATGATTCAAGCGGTGAAACACGTGTCTAGGTTTTTAGTTAATACCTCTGACGGGGATATTGTGAAATTACTTTTAGTTCAATCATAACCAGAGACGAGATCCACTACTGTTTCGACATTGAAGTGATGAGTTGCGTGTGGGTCTATTCATAAGGAAACAGACTTGCACACTATTTACCTCACCTCACTCTTGTAGGTTTTTAATTTTTTCCGAAATAAATTTTTAACTTGGGTCTACGGGGGCAGACTGAAATTTGGTTCGAATGCTTAGGCCGTTTAATGTTCACAATCTGCCAACAGGCAGCGAGTAGCATAACTTGTGTAATTTTCGCTAACTCTGACAGTGAACTCGCGTACGAGTTTGAAGGCGCAGAATAATAAACAAACAGATGTTGTAACTTACCATACTAACAGCCTAGGTACTAGCTAAAAGGCCCAGG